CCACTCTATTCCTTATTTTCATCAACGACCTTCCTTACGTCATAGATTCCCAAGTTGGCATCTACGCGGACGGCACTACAATTTACTCCTGCCTCAAAAACAAATCTAGTGTCGGTGACAAAACTAACCAGGCCGTGCGTCTTGAAATGGACCTCCAATCGGTTGTTAATTTTGGGCAAGAATTGGCTGGTCAACTTTTAAATTAAACTACTCTCTTTTAATCACCATAGAGATCCTTCCCTGCCCCCCCAGCATTAGAATGTCTGATAGTCAACTTCTTGAGAGCAACTCCCTGCGTCTGCTCGGTCTAACGTTGACTGCTGACCTGAGATGGAACAAAGACATTGAGTCAATTCTTCTTCCACCGCGAGGAAAGTTGGCTCTCTGTGCCGCGCCAAGAAATTTTTCTCCCCGGAATCGATACTTCAAATATACAAATCAGCCATTCGCCCTTGCATGGAGTATTGCTGCCATATATGGTCTGGGGCACCTTCTGTTTACCTCTGAGTTCTTGACAAGATCCAGAGACGGATATGTAATATAATTGGCCCTGATCTGGCGTCTCGTCTGCAGTCACTCTCTCACAGACGCGCCGTCGCCTCTCTCTGTCTTTTCTACAAATACTTTCATGGTAATTGCTCCGACGAGCTGCTTTCACTGGTTCCCAGAATCCATGAATTCAAGCGCCCTATGAGGCTGGCATCCAGCTCCCACCCTTACACTGTAGAAACTTTTAAATGTAGCCGTCTCTTCTGCTCCAATAGCTTCATACCTCGCACCTCTCGCATGTGGAACACCCTTCCCAATTACTGTTTCCCTGAGAGCTATAATCTCCAACTATTCAAATGTAATGTCAATCGACATCTCCAGTTACCTTGATCTACCCACTATCCTTCTCCTCATCCTTTCTTCTATCACTCCTATCTGCTCTCGCTCCAAATCTTCTGCAACCCCCTGCATCCTAGTGGCTTCGCGCCTTGCTCGGGGCGTAATGCTTAAAAAAAATTCTTGGAGCTTTTTTAGTTTAAATTTAGTTATCATTGTTGGTTTGTACCTTTTTTTATGAATTAGTATTTAATTTCTGAGGTGAGTAACTGCCAATGTAATTTTTATTATTATTTCGAATTTTTTTTCTCATCTTGTTTGATATAAATGTTATTATGAACACAATATTTCGCGCAAAACTATCTGGAGTTCTTATTATCAGTTCTGGTTTTTATTTGTATGTAATATCTGTTAATTATTGTTTTATTTCTTTTTTTCCTCAATGATGCCAGATATTTGCTGAAGTAATGTTCCAAAGTTTTGATGCAAGGAAGGAATTTTTGATTTGCTTCGGCATTATATGAGACATTTTGCGTGATTCCTTTTGAGGAAATATTCAAAGTAATTCTGTATAACTGGGATCCAAATCTTGATCTCGACACTGACGAACACTTGTAATTCAACTAGTATAAATATAAACAGGATTCTCAGAAATAACTAGCGAATTTGACTGGCGGATTTGATACTTACTGGTAAACATTACCTCTTCTTCCGTTTCCTTTTCTTCTTCTGCTTATTTTTCTTTACCTTCTTCTTTTTCTTCTTCTTTTTCTTCTTCTCCTTCTTTTCTTTCATCTTTTCCATTTTTTTTCTTCATTTTCTCGCGTCCTTTCAAGATGTGGGTGATAATGGCGCTCCACATTTTCCGATCCCTAGTAGCTATATTAATCGTTTTTTTTTTTTTTTTTTTGCTTTTCGTCTAGGAAATATTGATGTTTCCGTTATAATCTTGAAAAGATTTAACATTTCTGTTTAATTTAGATTTGTACATTAGTATATGGTTGACGCTCTTTAAAACACATCTGACTAAAATAGTTTCGTCTGCGTAACGCGTATCTTTCTTTGCAGGACAAAATATATTTATGATCTAATAAATTTGACTTCGGGGTGCAATGTCTATTTGTAACCAAAATAACAACTTTCAAATTTCTTTTAACAACAAAAATGTCCCGACTCCGTATTCCGCCCAGAGTCAATAAATACTACCTTCTTCTGCGTTTTCATGTAAACAATATTTGGTGGAGAAAAATAAATGACGATATATAGATATATCCTATACGTTATATTGAAGAATCATTATTATTTCAAGATCCTATCAGATTATTAAAATCGTTCTTTATCTTAGTTTTATAAATTTCAGAAGTGTTATTTTAATCCCACCGGTTGTTCATTCTTTTTGACTTTTTTACCATAACCAATTCACTATTCTAGAATAATGTCTACCATGGCATTAAAGCATTTCGAAAAGTCCCTTATATGATTCGGTGTTAGAACGTTACGAAAAATTCATATAAGTACTGAAATGTACGCATGTAGAACATTATACGACATACCTTGTTATATAGATCTCATTAGTGTCAAAAACGACTGAGTTACGAACAGATCGGTAGCCAGGGAGATTCAGTAATGTTATCTTCTGAAACCATTCCGGTTCAAGGCTTTCAGATTGACAGAATGCACTGACCTGATTAAAATGCCTTTCACGTTCTAGAAGACCGTTCCCATAAGGCACTGTGCGTCCACCTTCACGATCACGAGTCCCGTAATTCATTAGGCAACCGCAGTAAAAGTGCTGTGTCTTAGGTAACATAGGCTGACGGTGCCCAAACCTTTGCAGGGCGGTTTGAATTCAGCGTTATCTTCTGAAACCATTCCCGTTCAATGCTTTCAGGTTGGCAGAATGTACCGACCTGCTTAAAATGCATTTCACGTTCTAGAATACCTTTCCCATAAAGCATTGTACATCGTCTTTAAGTGTCGTTAAATTAACCGTTATGCGACAAAGCACAATCCATATGCCTAAGAAGAGCCTGCCTTCAGCGGCTCGTTGCTGGTGTCTCACACTACACTGTTGCGGTCTCATTTATTTCCTTGTGTCTTTTCAGGAGAACGAGAAATCCACCCGAACAAAGAAAATTCTTCAAATCATATCAGATGTAGTTTTGACCTTTCTTCAAGAGACATTGGAAAGAATTGTGTACGCTGACTGACTACCAGCAACACAGCTCTCTACGAAACAAGTATGCATATAGTGTAGAAGGTAGTGTATTCATTCTTCAATCTTGAATAAAAAATATCTGAAAATGTTACCACAATAACCCTAATGTTGGCTCGTACTTGGCAACAAAAAATCTTATTGTAGTATTGATATTGTTCGCCCAAACCCTTTTCATGGTGAATTTACTTCTCATGTCAATGATGATATTTACTAATCGTTACTGAACATAGGAGCCCGATAATATCTGCCACTTTGGGCATCTTTGTTTTCTAGTTATAAAAATTTGCCCTTAATTAAAATCATTTAAATATTGCTTCTTACCAGTGGCATTCAATATATCAAAATGAAGTTCTCACGACGTATCTAGTTTTTATAACTCCAGCATTAAATGTGCAACTGTTACCAAACATTAACTGCTATTCATAAGTCGCTAATCATAATATTGTACCATATATTTAGAAAATTATGACAAACTGAAACCCATATATATATATATATATATATATATATATATATATATATATATATATATATATATAGGGATTGTTTAGTTGTGTGTGTGTGTTTAAGTGTGTGTCTTATTTTCCACTAATAATTAAGTCTTTCGTCTGAAATTTTGAAATATACACGGCTATAAATATATATTTTCATGTATATATAACATTAGTAAAATTTGTATCAAGAAAGCAAGGTTCCGACTGGTCCGAATCTATCACATTAAGAAATGACAGATGCTTTAGAAGACACGTTTTTAGGAACGAGAAACAAACTATTCGTCAAAGAGCAATTAATAATTTCATAAACAATCGCGTCTCATTGAACTTTGTGAATATATTGGCACGAGGAGCTTAATAAGCCAAAGAGCCATTGTGAGAAGATTAGTTGTAAAAGATGAAAATTAGCTGCTGAAGGTTTATGCTAATCTGCCTTATGACTGTTTAATACTGACCCGATACACTATCCTGATGGACAGTTTATCTTCCAGCCGAACAATACTCATTTGGCATATTTTCCAACCGCCCAGATATTCTATGCAATAGAAATGTTGGCTTCAAACGGGCAATCCAACTGATCATACTGCAATGGCGATGTCTTTCCCACTAACATAAGACTTATTATATTCATTCTAGATTACAGATAGCTTCTGGAGACTACATCTTGATTAAAATTTCGTCTTCCAGCAGAACAAAGACATTCGCCAGGATATACCAAAGTCCGGTTGACGAATATTAGTGTTAATGTCATATTCTATCGATGTCAACTAGAGGATTTTAACAAATGGAGAAAATTCATAATGTAAAAATTCTATTACTTTTTCATGCCAATTTCTTTTCGTTCTTTCTTTTCGATTTTTCTTTTTGATCTTTTTGTTCGTTCTTTCTTTTCGTTCTTTCTTTCAATCCCCGTCAACCTCTTACTTCCTCGCTTTTATTTCCTTTTCTTTTATACTTTTCTTTTCGAACTTTTATTTCCTTATAGCACTTTTAGCCTCACTAGCAGCCGAATATCCACGATCGTTCGGCTATTCGCCATATTTATAACCACCTTGACAATACAAGATGGTCGTTCACACAGCAGATCGATAGAACTTACAAGGAGACATCGTTTGATAAATTCGCCAATAATGAGAGCCATTCATTGCATCAGTTCACAGCAGGACATGATTAGTTATTTACTCTCCCGGGATTTCTGGTTTCATCAAAGGGAGAAACACAATTCGGCCGCAGGTAATGTGCAAACTAATCGTGACATGGACTTGGCCGGTGGGGCGAGGAAATAGCCGGACTCGGCACGGTTGCCTCGATGTCTGGCCAGGGGATGGAAAATCTGCGGGAATACAAGTTGGAAGGTTAGAGTTATGACGTTGGGAAAGAATATGTTCAAGGCTAGCTACGCGGTACATTGTTGTCTGAGATTTGTCATCTCATGTTGCGGTGTGTTAACGTTGTAAAATATGTCATGAAACAAACACATAAGATATAATATATGATTTTAATAAAATCTGGTAGATAGATAGACCTGAAGAGACTAGATGATATTTGATAGATTTGAAGATACTGAGATAGATAGATAGATAGATAGATAGATAGATAGATAGATAGATAGATAGATAGATAGATAGATCTGAAGTGACTGAGATAGATAGACCTGAAGAGACTGAGATAGATAGATAGATAGATAGACCTGAAGAGACTAAGATAGATAGATAGATAGATAGATAGATAGATAGATAGATAGATCTGAAGTAACTGATAGATAGACCTGAAGAGACTGAGATAGATAGATAGATAGATAGATAGATAGATAGATAGATAGATAGATAGATAGATCTGAAGAGACTAAGATAGATAGATAGATAGATAGATAGATAGATAGATAGAATTATATGTAAATCTACTCGATTCTCACAATACCTGAATATTTCTCCGAAATGTATTTTAATTGCTTTTATAGTTTCAATCTACGTTAGTAAAAAAATTATTTTATGAGATGATAAGAAAGAATTAATTCCATTATTTTATTTTCAACTTCGAATCGAAACCCTTTTTCAATGGACGTATTATATTAATGTTTCCGGATTAATTAATATCTGTAAATCAGAGTGTAAGAATTTAATTGTATCAGAATTGAAATCAAAGTCATCTGCTACAATTAGCCGAAATTTATTTGAACAACATAACTGTCCCTTAATAAAATATAGTAGTTTGATATATTTTACCCTTATGAAAATTTAAGTCTTTTATATGGTATTCAGTTCTATGCTAGTCTTACTGGGGAGATTTCTGGGTTCAGTTTTTTTTTTTTTTTTCAATATAGCTTGATATTTCTTATGACTTTGGTTCCTAAGTGAACCCACTTCAACGCATGATCGGCTACAATTAACTTCATCGCTTCTGAAAATTTCCCCGTGGTTTTATCTCGTCTTTATAGTCTCTGTTAAAACTGTACAAAAATTCTATACGAAAAATTGATGCTCACGTTCTTATGTGAACGGCGGTTGTATCTGGTCACTTATCTGTAAAGCCTGTTGCCACTTTTGAATAGTTCTATGGAGCGAAACTTCTTTCGCCTTCTGATTCGCCTCTGATATATGGTAGATAACTATGCTACATTCGCTCATAGAAAGAATATTTATTCTTGCAGATTGGTTATTAGTTCAAAAGATCTTCGTTGTAATTATCACCTTTGGTTGTTATGAATCCGGGTCACCAACTATTTATTATTCTTCACACTGTTTGGCTGGTAGCAATAGAAATTCAAATTTCGTCAGGTTAATATTGGTTTACGATGCATAGATTTCTTCTATTAATACAAATTATTCGTACATCTTGATAACTTTATTTACTGGACGGACATGTTTAATTTGCAATAGTTTCTGTTTATAACAATCAGGCTTCTTCAGTGAAACGAGATGATACACTGTGACTCTCAGGTTTATTTATGACAGGTTAACAATAATCTTACCTGTATAGACTGTGGAATATTATGTACTAATCAATACGGACTGAACAAACACTTGAAAATCTATAATCACTGAACTGAGCAATTATGATAATTTCGATGAATCTGCACGCACGCACACACACACACACACACACTCGTTTATGTGCGTTGATATATTTGTGTGCATGCGTTTACTAATTTCAGTTAACAGTATGAAAATAGTGTTCTCTAAATTCTTCCAGTTGCTAAGGACACTTTGTTTTATTATTATTAGTTACTTCATTTAATAAATTCATTACGTTTTTTGCCTAGAGAAAGTCCACATCGGACGAAACGCGTCGGTAACTATTACAGTTTTCCTATTTTCATTTAGATTTATAAATATTGTCTTTTCTACTAGTTAACTCTGAGAAATTTTTTCATATATATATATATATATATATATATATATATATACATTATTAAACTTCTAAATAATAATACACATTAATACATATTAATAATAATAAATAATAATAATCGACACGAGTTAACGGTTTTTTGTAGGCATCATCAGATTTTTGGTTTGAATTATTAGATAAAAAAAAAAAAAATTAAAAAAATTTATAATAACTTGTTTAACAAATAGCCCAATCATCAGATTCATAGTAGGAATAATTAACTACAAACATGCATACAACATAACACCCTTCATAATCCATAGCCCAAATAAGTAGTTTAAATACCTTACATAATAGATAACCCTTTATGAAGTCGTCAAAAAACAAACGTTACGAAAGTTTTTTCTGTTTTTTTTTATATGCACAATTCCCTTTCATAATAAAATTAAATAAATAAATAAATCTCCATAGACAAACAAACTAGACGAAGGTTAATACATCTTCCGTTTCATTTTAGACACCCCCACCTTTCCCCCGACTTGACATCTTGAAAGTATCTCTATACCGCTACTTATTATTAACACCCTACACTCGCCTACCCAATTTAAACAATTCGCCCTTTTGCTGTTACCATGGAGATTTTGATTTCAATTTTTAAAACAAGTAAATTTCAGATATACGTTATTCCAACAAAATTTCGCTTGAAGATGGAACGGAGCCCATTTTAATTTAAACTCAATTTAATTTAAAGGATTATATTGAAGTTTTCGCTCTTGTTTTGAAACATGAGACCTTTATGTAGCGATTTGAATCATATTTTAAATATATATATATATATATATATATATATATATATATATATATATACAGCAAAGAGTGAGAGCGCCCGTGTGTGTGTGTGTGTAGCTAAACTTTTTAGAAGTCAAACTTGTTACAGTATCTGACCAAATTATTGATTTTGTTAAGTTGGTCTAGCTGAGAACTCTTCAGCAGCCCGTCATACGCGGTCTTACATACCAGGAAATTTGGCATGGATATTACAGCAATTTTAATGTTCATCCCGATCACGTAATATTATCGATATTCTTGTAAAATAAATCTTTAATTTCCTTCTCTCTTTATGTCCTTGTTTTGTCTTTGATGTTAGAATCTCAATGTATATCAGAAAAAGATAATATTTGACTTTATTAATTTACTACGTGCTTCAATTAATTTATTTTTAACAGTATGGAATCAAGTGAAAAGAAGTTAAAAAAAAAGGTAGCTTAATATTTTATTCGGAATGACCGATTCAAATTCAAATTACGTACCATACAAAGCACCTCTTCTCATTTAAATTTGATTTTCCTTCGCTAACCATTCTCCTCCATGACCTTGCCTGACACTAATAATGAGAATTTGTCAGCCGGCAGCAATCCTCACAAAACAGAGCCTTTGCCGTCGTATAAGCAAACAGACCTCACCAGTGAGTCTCTCTACTGGGTGATCTATGCTTCTGTCTTTGTACCGAAACTAACCTCAGAAAATAACAAGGCAGTTCAGCGTATGGCAATCTAGTCAAGTTCACTTTTAGTTGCGCCTCTCAATCTTCACCTTGGTGCTCTTTACTTGTAGCCTTGTGCAAAAACTAATCAAACCTTACTAATTTACAACGCATCTAGCTAAACTGTTTATGCAAATTATTTTTTTTCTAATACTTTGTATTTTCTGAAGTTTCGTTTTGCCTCGGGCAAATGACAGTTTCTCGACAGGACGTGATGAGTCCTTCATTGAAAACCCAGCCATCCGTTCATTTGCAAAATAAGATTTAATTACATTACAATTCGCCATCCATTAGCTTAAACGTCCCGATATTTTTGGTCAGAAGCGTTAAATTATTTACAGCAACAAATTTCTTACAATCTTTCTGGAGACCTTCAATATAAATATAATGTTTACAGTAGAGCGACTCAACGTTTTGGCCTTGGCTAAAATTTCTTTATACAAAACAACATAACTATGGAGATATTTTGTAATAAATTTCATTCATAAAATCAGTATTAATACTATTTGTGATTACTTCAGTATATAAATAACTATATAGCCAAAAAATACAAAAAATTCTCTCTTTTTATATATTTTTTCTAACGTAATTTCTTTCGTTTTCGATGAAGGAAGGAAGTTTAGGGTGAGAATTTCAGTAGCGAATATTAGGTGCGTAGAAAAAGTATTATGCAGCGAAGGTTTCAGATAAAATTTCTGATAAAAATCGCGCCAAATGTAAATCCAATCGTGTGTTAGTGACTAGAGTATCTTAATGTGATGGTGAAAAATGATGGATGAAAGCAATTTGGTTTCGTCAATCATTTTAGAGTGACCGCTGTCTGCTAACCTCAAAATCAAAATTGAAAATATTGATATGTACCAAAACTTGAACACAGTAAAATAAGCAATTTATAAAGCGATCAGAAATGTTGAATGAAAAGACTGTACCATTAAACTCGTTACAAAAATGTTTCTGCTTTTAGAATGAAATAATAGCTGATAACTGACATCCATTAGACATGGCACGTGGAACTAGAACAGTCTACCCCAGTGGGCAAAATAAAGGGTTCAGTTCGATATTCTAACCACCTGAAGAAGACCGGAGCGTACAACGGCCGAAAAGTTGTGATAAATATGGCAACAAAGATGAGGACAATAGTCCGAATAATGTAAATAGTGTATATGATGCCTCATCTCAGAAATATAGACAGATACTGAAGAAGGTCGAAGCGTATAATGGCCGAAACATTGTAATAAATATGGCAACAAAGATGAGGACAATAGTCCGAATAATGTAAATAGTGTACATAATACCTCATCTCAGAAATATAGCCACATACAGAATTAATATCAGTTCAGTATGTTGCGGAGCTACAGTATTGTCCCGCCTGAAAGGTTCATGTGTCGGATAGGGGTGCTATAACCCATGCTAACCGATAAGGATTGTGGAGTAACAAAAAACAATGGGGATGAGACGTTGTTAAACTAAAAAAGATATTTTTTAATCCTTTTGCCTAGAGAGACCATACAAAATGGTCAGAGAGTTCGTCTCAGGATCCTACCGTAAACATAGGAGTTAATATTGCATAAAAATAAGTTCTTTGAAAGCGGAATGTTGTCTGAAGCTGCTTGGATCATTTATGATTGGTCAGAAAATATCTTTATGACGATTTCATTTTCATTTTTATCTCGGAAGTGCATGCGCTGAACCGGTTTAAAATTAAACCAGTTTGTGTCGTTTGTATGATAGCTGGTGTTTATTTCTGTTTTCTTTTTTGAAGTTTATCTATTCCGACATGTTACAATAAGTATAGCATATGCCATTCTTTATCTCAACATCACCCTTCGTCTGTTCACCCCATTATATAGATTAATCTCATAGTAGATATGATATACACATATACATATAAGACGAATAGGGCGCAATTGAAGGAAAAAATGGAAAAAAAAATGTACACGTTACGTTCGTCTTTTGAAAGGACATCTTCAAAGACAAACAATTTTATAAATATTTTTATAAAGTAGTTTTTTTCAGAGACATATACATTT